TTGTCCTGCTGTTTTTTCTTCTTGATTTCAAATGGAATATGTACACACTTTGGCCAAATGGATTGGATATTTGCCTAATGTACACACTTATTTATTTTTGCTTAGATAGGGCAGGGAGCTAGCAACAGTCACAGACCAGGATTCTACTATGTTAGCTGTTGTACAAACATGGAGAAGAGAGATAGTTTCTTCTCCAAAGAGAGAGCAATAGGTGAATGCAATGGGCAGACTAAGGTGCATCAGGTGAACTTTTCAAAATGCTGGGTGTTCAAGTCTTTAGACAGATTATCCTCAGAGAACTGCAGCACATACTCCTGAATCTCCTGAACCTAAGGTACTGTCTTTCCCCATACTTCTACGCTGCCAGTACTGGTTGCCTATTCTTGGTATACATGAGAAGAAAACAGAACTTTTCAAGTGCGGAGTTAAAAAGAAAAGTTTCATCCTATGGCATGGAACTGGCATTCAGGAGAAAAGTGTTGTACTCCCAGGTCAGCTATTGACCTGCAGGATGACCTTGGATAACTCAATTCACTTTGTGGTGCCTCATTTTCCCCATCTGTAACTGCCCAGTCCCTTCTTTGAATCTTGCTAAATTGTTGGCCTCAGTGACATCCTGTGGAGTTAGCAGAAGATGCTGACTGTGTAATTGTTCCTGAGCAGTCATTTAGTACTTGCATACGCAAGTACTAAATAACTGCACAGTAACCAGCATTACTGTGTAATCACATCCCCATATGACTTCCTGGTGATACTGACTGCGCAATAGCTCATTACTACTTCACAGTAGCTTCAGGGTTCATGCCCCATGACACTACTGCACAAAAGTAATGGGCTATTGTGCAGTAGGCATCTCATGCAACAGATTTAGAAACCTTCCTGTAATCTCTTTTCCTCCAGGAGAGCATCAGAATTCCCTAATATCTGTTAGTTCAATGATGTTTAGACATATTTTAGCCAATACTCATATTATTCAGGAAATATATTACTGGTCTCACCAAACTCTAATGTAGTAAGTATCACCAGGAAGCCATGTGGGGATGTGATTACACAGTAACGCCGGTTACTGTGCAGTTATACCTAGTAGATATTTTTCATCTGACCCTTTTTCTTTTCATCTAAAATTGAGTTTTTTCATTGGAAACTGTTGAGAAATATTTTCTCTCTATAAAATACCTGAAAACTATTGAAAAAAGTGTGATTTATAATTTTTTAAATACAAAATATACCTTGCTTTTATGATATTTTTGCTCAAGAAATTCTGTATTTATGTTAATGTGTAGAAGTGTTGCAAAAGTGACTAAAGCATACTACACAATGGGATCCAGCGTCCATTGCCTATATGATGCATGGGCAAGTCACTCAACCCTCAAAATTACTAGTAGGAAAAAAACGGCATTTGAAGGTGTGCTAATGTTCCCTTCTCCTTCAAAAACAAGACTTTATCAGGTTGGGAGAATGAAGCTAGTCATTCACTCTCTGTATATACTGGAGAAGAAGAGGTAGCAATATTCTTCCTAGAAGGCAGTACCAATTCCTGCATGATTCCTGGTTACTCCTAGTGTAGAAGGTCCCAGCTGAAGCACAACATTTTTCCAATTTGTTTGCAAGCTGGAAGTCATTACCTTTAGGTTGGAATCCAAGATGAGCTGAATTGCACAAGACTGGACATTCTGATTCCAGCAAGTTGCATGACTCCTCTTAGCCTCAACCAATATTCAGGTACCAGTGGGCTAAGCACTGCACAGACATATAGTGGGAGAGGGTCTCTAGCCCAAAGAATTAAGCAGGTAAAAAAGTCTGAGGCCCTGTGCATCCTCAGGTGTTTTGTGGATGGCTTAAGCCCAGAATTAGTGTAGCCATGTCCATATGGCACTGCAGGAAAGCTAATTAGCATGAGGATGAGCTAACTGATTCTGGGGGCATCTACTTGTGCAATGAACATGCAGTAAGGTTACTGAGCAGTAAAATAAGGTGCAGTAAGAAATGGCCGTGGCCAGAAGCACATTTACACATGTGCCCTGTTGGGCACAGATTTGCGCCCAATGGGAACAGCCCAGTTCAGGGCTACTTCTGCCCTGCTCTGCCTTCTTGCAGCAGCCAGGAGTTCCAGGCTCCCCTGGGTGCTAGCCCGGGGCCTGGCAGGGGGACATAGGGGTAGTTCCTGATGTGCGTGGGGCCAGGAATATTGTGCCGGCTGCAAGGGCACCTGTCTCCTGGCCCTATGCGCATTGGAACCTGTCCTGACAGCTCCCCCTGAATTGGGGCTTAGCCTGGCAACAGTGACTCCCTGCTTCCTGGGCTGACCAGGAGCAAAATTGCTCCCAGTCAGTATCTAAATGTGTGCTACTGCACATTACCTAATGTGCCATTTATCTAATACCTATATATGTTGACACTAGCAAACAGCACATTTGACTAATTTAATGTGCAGTAAAGCATCTTGTGTAAACATATCCCCTTTCACTCCGTAGTGCTATTTAGCTTATCGTAAGCCGTATGCAGACATAGTGCTTCCAAATTAAGAAGCAGCCTGACCAGATTCACATATTGTGCCTAAGTACACTGCTCTTGAGTGTGTTAAATTTACTCTGTAGACATGTTCTAGAGATGAGATGAAAACCTGACTCGGTGAGAAGGGACAGTGACTTGACCAACATCACACCACAGATTTTGGTCACCACTCTTTGTACCTTTGGTTTCCTTGCAAATGCTGGTCTTTCTTTTAGGTTTAGTTCTTTGGATCTGTTTTCAGAGCCTTGGTGTACTTGGGTTACTGCACTGAAATATAAGATTACATGCCAAAAAGCAAAACCTCTGTTTGCCCTACTGAAGATTATGAGCCATGCTTCAAAGCTCATTGCCGAAGGATCAGGTAAATTGGTTTTTATTGAAATATACTGTAATACAAGGAGGAAAAAAATTCAGTTTAACACAAGTACATCCCATTTTAGTCTCCCAAATAACTATTGATATCTGCTGTCCTGGAGCAAATCATATCCTCCTTGACAAGTCTGACAGCTGCTGTTTCTCTATCTTCTTTTTATCTTTAATAGCCATGGTCTGTTGTGGTACCTTGAAAAACCTAGTTGCTGCTTTTTGATAGATAGGTCTTCCCTGGTGCTTCAAGCATCAGTTTGTGCATATTTCTTGACCTGCTGAGATCAGAGCTGAAATTGATCTTGGCCAGCAGCATAGTAGCAATTGTCTAATGCCTCTACTCTGCTACAGAATTCTGACAACAAACAAAAACAAACAAACAAAACCCCAAAACCAAACCAAAACAAACAAACAAAAAAACCCTCTCCATCAAGTGTGTTTTCAAGAAATAGTCCTTTCTAATGTCTGTATAGATATCCACAACTTGTTTCACTGCAATCTATCTGCTTGTACATCTTGATTCTAAGTGCTTTCCTGAAAGAATGTTTTATGTATATTCTAAACACATAAAGCCACTTGTATGACTCTAGATGGATTTTCCAAAGTGCTCAGAAACCCACAATTTTAATCTGAATAGCCACAATGCTATGAATTAAAAAAAGAAACAATAATGCTTGCATTCTCCCCCTTCACTTTATTCCTCTCAGACTATTAGCTCACTTAGCAAGTTTTCCTGAGCATCTCTCATGTAGTAGATGTAACAGACCTATAGAAAGGCATGTCTGTGGGAATGTCTGTTTCTGAACATTTGTCACATTGAAAGTCAATATTCTTTCTAGGAATCACCCTTTCACAGGAACCATGTGATACTTATAGTGAAGCAAGCATTTTTAAAAGCTTCTTTATTCCTTAAGACTTCATCAAGAAAACAACTTGCACTTAAAAAATCTGGCTATGTCTTTAATTTGTATTAAAAACACAGGAACACAAGTGTAACCATGGTGGAAGGCCTGCAAAACGTATTAGCTGGCCATGGCTAAACCTAGGTGGATGCTTTTATAGTAACCTGTATTCTTAGTCTAAGTGCTTATACACATGCTCCATGGGCAAGGAAGGTGGGGCATTTTAATTAGAGTGGCTCCAGAGTATCACATGTATCGATGTCCCCACACTGAAAAATGGTGGCGGAGGCACTTTAACTAAAGCTCATTGAACGAGCTTTAGTTAAAGCACCCCCACCGCCATTTTTCAGCATAGGGACTCTGACACACATGGCACTGGAGTCTGAGGAGCATGGTAATTACCATTTTGGTAATTACTATGCTCCAACAGACTTGATTAATTGAGTCTTCTTTGACACATTACAGCAGGAACGTGTATAGGTACCTGCTATGTCTTGAGCAAATTGTCCAGGATATAAAGTTTTGTCTCTACAAGATAACTGTAATTTTTCCATTCAGAAGGGTTGTAATAGAATTCACCCCAATATTTCAATACGGGGTTCTTCACTGATCGTTATCTGTTTGTCTGTCTGTCTTTCTGTCTATTTCTAAGGAAAGCAAACATATTTGCCAATATTATCCTTTTGGCTGAAAGCAAAGTGGTTGATCCTTTTGAGGGTGGTGAGGAAACGTTAACAGTTTATCATTTTAAGAAAGAACACATTTTTCTAACCACTTTAATAGGAAAATAACCCCCTCTCCAGTCCACCCTTATCTTTTTATTTGAAATTTGGTAAAACTGTCAAGTTCCAACAAAAAGATGGACTTCTTCCATCACTAACCTATATGTACAAAGTCCCCAGTGCCATTATGCTATAAGGTTTGATTATTCTGATACATTGCAATCTGCATTATTCATCTGCTGACTGTGAATTCAGCATTCCAGTAGAGCCAGCCAGAGTGTTTTGGGGGTGGGATATTTCTTTTCTAACTGTATACATTGCACTGTATATTCATCCCATATTACTACTGTATTTTTCATTTATAGCTAAAGCACATAGACATTTTTATGGTCTCACAGTTCTAGCTATCAGCAAAAAAGGACACTTGCTACTAGTAAGAAATGAGGTTTAGAAGCTATACCATGAAATTAAATGTAATTCTTTATGATTTTAATAGGCCCCCAGTGGTACCCCTCCCGGGTTGGCCTGCAACTGGAACGAAGTGAGTATTTATTTTTCTGTCAAGCAACCTCCTAGTATATTTCTAATCTATTTCTGATGTTTCTGCCTAATTATATTGCATTGTATATATGCTATTGGCTAAGCCATTCAAACTTTTTTCCTAATTAATATGTCTGGATATCTAATTAGCTTCCCCACTGATGAACAGAACTGATGATTTTTCATGTGCACTGTATAATGTTGATTCTGTTAATTTTCTTATAGTAAATATTAAAATGAAAAAGGAGACTGTTTTTCAGTTTCCAGTGCAAAACCCACCTCTTGACACTAAGGGTGGCATTCTGTCTCCTTCCTAAGCATGTCATCTACATGGCATTTTCAGTCATTTAAGTGCCCCAAATGCCATCTGTACACAGGCTGGAATTCTATTCCTAGGCACATAGCCCTGCACACATGGATGACTATTAGAGACCACGTATTCACACAGATTGACTGTGTGCAGTAGTAACCAGAGTCTGTATGTATGCCCCTTGTTAATGTGTAGAAGACTTTGATGTTCTAAAATGGAGATCACCAAACCCATGGCTACCAGATTTAGACTCAGAAGCAGAAAACAGATGGAGGTAGGTCCTCTTTTACCTTTCCCCTCTCCTCATCAGAGCTCAGTGGGTGGGGCATTAGGGGAGGAGGGGGAAGAATGAAACTAGGGGTGCTGATTTATAGCTGCTCCCCCCCCCCCCGCCAAACCTTTGCCCTGGGGGCATTTGAATCTGGGTGTCCTTGACTTCCTAGCTTAGTACTAAATTGAAATCCCCTCTTGGTGAGTGGGGCCTACAAACTCCAACTTCCCATGTGACTGCCTTAGTCACTAGGGGAAGATGGGAAGTAGTGATCCCCTTCAGCAGTGCATATGCCCAGTTTTGGTGTATGTATAGTTATCCACTTACCAGGGGTTATATGTAGAGCAACAAAATGTCAACCTTTGTATAAGGAGTATCTCTGGCACTTATACATGACCAAATTGTGACAGTTAGATGACCAGGAAAGAATATGTGATCCAAATTGTAATACTTATTGATGGTCTTAGCAGAAAAATCAAGGACTATATGGGCCATGAAGGCTGACCTACTATGATTGTAATAATTTTTGAAGGACATGATAATATTAGAAGATTTAACTACCTGTGTCCATGCTGAACTTGTTCTGTGGATAAACCTAGGAATTCATTCTCCAGAGGGTTTAAACTTAACTACTTTAATTCCCCTAAGTGCTTTGCAAAGTAGTGTGTGCTTTCTTGGATCCTCTGCTCAAGGTCGCTATCTGGTATCCTTGCATTTACTACACTTCCTTCCCTGCATTTTTATTATCTGCCTTATGGAATCTGTAGACTTCCTGACTTTGCTGTCCCATCCTTTAATTTTGGATAGGCTTAGGATCAATGCCACCAGATAGAAGTAGGCTGATCTGTTTATTTTGAATGACTCTTTAAATTCCTTCACAGAGCAATGGGTGTGGTCTGTCATTCTGTCTTCTATGTCCGCATTCTTAGACCCTCACTGCAATTCCTATTTTTTTTTTTTTTTTGGTTTGCTATCCCTGACAATTCATGATTTCCTGAGTTTCAGTTGTAGGGTTGTGGGTCTACTCCTTGGTTGTCGGTCTATTCCTAACATCTGAGATTCAAATAGTCCAAGCCCTTCAATCACTGACTTCTTTAAATCCCTTGTGGAACAGGATGTGTTATCCTGAATTCACTGGCTTGTGAACTTTTTTATTTTAACCCTGCAGTTGCTTCCTGGTTTTGCCTTCACTGATTCTTGCTTTTCTATAGCTTTTATATTCTCCTCATTTTTTGAAAAATAAAGGATTTTTCCTTTGCCTCTGTAACAGGGTGCAGGGCTCAGGGGCTGTAGTCCAGCTGCAGGAAGCTGAAAAAAGATTTCCTGCCTGTCTAGGAGGATTAGAATGTTTGGATGGCCCAGATGAAGTTAAAAGCTCCCAGAGAAGGGAGAAAAGGAAAAACTGAAGTTGCAGAACATATTCAGAATTACTTTCTCAGGGTCCAGGAAAGGACTACAAGGGATGAGGTAAAACTTTATTGTTAAACATGCTGAACAAAATGGGATAGCTGATAACCAATACTCAGGAGAAAACAAAACTCCTAAACAAATACTTCACATCAGTATTTCACCAGTCTTAAAGTATTAGCCTGCTTGACAGGATACAAGATGATCAAGTTGGGGGTGATCACCTACCCATAGTTGATGAAGATCTTGTGGAGGAACATCTAGAGAAGCTGAATACCTACAAGTCAGCAGAACTGGATGAACTACACCTGACAGTGCTGAAAGAATTTGTTGACAACATCATGAGACCAATCGCAAAGCTCCTGAGAACTCATGACACTTGGGAGAGGTCCCAGAAGACTAGAAGAGGCCCAACATGGTGTTTTTCTTCAAGAAAGGAAGAATGGAGATCCCAGGGAATTATAGGACAATCAGTTTGACCTTAATCCCTGGAAAAATCCTGGAAAAAATTACCAACAAATCCATTAGTGATAGGCTAATTGAAGGCAGTAATCTAAAGGACAGCCAACATGGGTTCATTGCAGGCAGGTCATGCCTGACCAACCTCATTTCCTTCTACAATCAGGTTACTCACCACCTGGATAAGGGAGACGAGGTTGATGTCATATACTTGGATTTCAAAAAGGTCTTTGACTTAATCTCCCATGATGTCTTTATGGTAAATTTGAGAAATTGCAGCCTTGACAATCTTACAATCCAGTGGCTAGGAAACCGGTTCCAAGGTAGGACCCAGAGAATATTAATAGATGGAATTGAGTTGACATTGTGTAAGGTGACCTTTGACATCCGTCAGGGTTCACTACTCAGACCAGTGCTTTTCAACATATTCACCAATGATTTGGATTCATGTGTTAAAAGTGTATTGGCAAAGTTTGTGGATGACACCAAATTATGGGGGAGTGTGGTCATGCTAGAGGATAGGCTGGGGATACAGTATGACCTGGACAAGCTTGCAAGGTGGGTGGATCAAAACCTGATGACATTTAACACAGAGAAATGTAAAGTGCTCCATCTGGAGAGAAATAAGCTGCAACATATTTACAGGCTTGGCAGTGCTACCCTTTTGAGCACCACATCTGAAAGAGACCTCAGGGTTGTGGTAGACCACAAAATGAACATGAGCCACCAATGCAATGCCGTAGCTGGCAAAGAGAATAAAACACTGGCATGCATCTACTGATGCATCTCAAGTAAAACTAAGGATGTCATCCTTCTGCTCTACTTGGCTTTGGTGAGACCATAGCTGGAGTACTGCACCCAGTTCTGGGTGCTGCACTTCAAGAAGGTTGGGGAGAAGCTTGAGAGAGTCCAAAGAAGGGCCACAGATACGATTAGAGGTCTGGAGCTCAAGCCGTATGAGGAAAGGCTGAAAGACATGGGACTGTTCAGCCTGAATAACAGACTTAGAGGGGATTTGGTGGCAGCCTATAAATATATTAGGGACATACATTAGGGCCTGGGGCCTTGGAACCCCTGTACATCTGTTCACCAAGGCACCCCAGGGGAAGACATGGAACAATGGACAAAAACTGCTAGAAGATCACTTCAAATTGGACATAAGGAAAAAATTATTTACAATTCAAGTGTCCAGGTTCTGGAACAGATTCCCTACAGAGGTAGTACAATCACCTACCCTGGAGACCTTTAAAAAATGACTGAATTTGCACCTTGTTGGGGTCACCTGACCCCAGCAGTCTTTCCTGCCTAAGTGCAGGGGGGGTGGACCTGATGATCTCATGAGGTCCCTTCCAGGCTCTAACATCTATGAATCTATGTATCTGTTTGTTTTGTGATTATGGTGTTTCTTGTGAGGGCAAGTGTAACCCAAGGAAAATAAAATAGTGTTATAAACAGTGACAGTCCACTATGTGTGATGGAGAACATGGGTATTCTAAAGCCAATTCCAGTAATGGAAACAGGACTCCTGATAAAATGGCTGGAGGGGCTGCTGCAGCAACAACAACAGCTGTTTGAGCAGATCCAACTCTAGCAGTAGCAATTCTAGAAGAAGTAGAACCAACAAATCTAGCAGTTCCAGAGAGACCAGCAGCTGCAACAGCAGGAGTTCCTGAGATATCAGCTGGAGTAGAGACAGATTCCCACCCAAGTTGGTGAGTCACATGGATCCCAAAGGATATAGGGTGGAGTCCTCCCCAAGATGGGACTTGAAGATGACCCAGAAGCTTTCCTCGTGACTTTTGCGTGGGTGGCGGAGACCTTTCAGTGGCCACAGGAAACATGGGCTATGAGGGTGGCCTCTTTGTTGACTGGGGAGGCACAGGTGACTTACAAGTCTCTAGGAGCAGAGTTGGCTCAGGACTACACTATCCTTTAATCAGCCATACTGGACTAGTTGGGTCTCATGGAGGAAGCCTACTGGCACAAGTGTTGATCAGAGTCTTGGGACACAAAGTTCCAAAGCCCTGGCCCCAAACCTAAAGGACTTGTGTACCAGCTTGTTAAACCCAGACTTCTGGTTGACTGTGGAGATTGTGGAACCAGTGACCCTCAAACACTTCTGCTGCATCCTACTAGCAAAGGCCCAGAGATGGGTGTATCAGCATTGTGTGGTTAGCTTGGAGGAGGTTACGTGAAAAGTAGAAGACTTCACAGGAGCAGAGTTAGAGTGTCAAGAACCCTGGAGGAACCAGTAGCTTCCAGGCCTGAGTAAGCTGGGACTACAGGGAAAGCAGCCCAGGTGTCTAGGAAGGCCCCCAGTAGAGGCATTAACTCTATTGTCTCTGAGACTGCAGCCAGGACAAGGGCCCTTGAGTTATCCTTCTGGAGAAGAAAGTCACCTAAAGCATCCCTGCAGCCCAGGAAGAGGAAGAGAGATGCAAATAATATGCCTACAATGCAGGCAGAAGGAACATTGATTTTGGGACTGCCCACAAATGGACTATGGGTACACTCAAACCTATGTGTCAGAGGCAACGCAGAAGGACCCACACCTGAGAGGATATGTGGTCCTGGTAAAAAATGGGGAGGTCCATGTCATTGGGCTCATAGACTCTAGCTTGGGCCAGACATTTGTACATGAGTGACTTGTGAATCCAGCAGACATCCTCTGGTAGAGGAATGCATGTATTTCACATGCATTCATGGGGATACCTCACCCTAGACCGTAATCTGCCTAAACCAGACTATCGGGGGACAGGAAGACCATGTAAGGGCTTCGGTGGCCAGCCACATAGCTTTCCCTTGTGGTGGTGGGACAAGACTGGGGCTTGATAGCCAAGTGGATCTGAGTGGCAAAACAAGTGTATACAAGTGAGACAGACCATAACCCCACCAAATCAGAGATAGGGGAAAACAGATATCTTTGTTTTCAAACACTGAGCTCTTTGGGCCTCAACCCAGGTCATGCATAAAATGTTGGTGCATTGGACAGAAGGCCCTCTCCAGACAACAGGAATGCCTAGGGAAAGGGATCAGAGGTCAGTGCAGTATGGGCCCCACTCCAGAGGAGGCAAAGGGTCAGGGAACCTTTGGAGCCCTTTGGGAGAGAGGGCTGAATCAGGTGGGGGAAGACCAAGATTTCAACCAGGACAAAGGCAGGATCCAATATATGTCCCTCTATATGGCCAGCTGGGACAGGCCAAGGGGCCATAATGAATGCAAGATTAGCAGGCCAGGGCTCCTGTCTTGATTTCAGGGGGACCTCCTGATGAGGGTGGCCAAAGACAAGGTCAAAGACAAGGCCTGGCACTCTCAGCTGTTTGTACTGAAAAGGTACTGGGGCCAGATTTTGAAACTGGCACATGATGTATCTTGGGAGAATCATTTGGGGTTGGAAAAGATCCAGGAAAGAGTACCAGCAAGGTTTTTTTGGCCTGGGGTATATCAGGAAATCAAAGACTATTGTGTGTTTTGTCCCAATTGCCAGGTGGCTGCACCTTGGCTCGCTCATAATGTCTTGCCGATACCTGTTCCACTAGTCGGCATACCCTTTGAGTGTGTTGGAATGAAGTTGATGGGACGCCTGGGCCCCAGATCAAGAAGATTCTGGTTCATCTTGTTCCTCATCGACTATGCTACCCACTACCCCAAAGCTGTGGCAATCCACTTGGCTTCAGCCCAAATGGTGGCCTCTGAATATTCTGGCATAGAATATCAAATAGATTTTTCTGTTCAAAAGCATGAACAACTGATGGACAAAATTGAGAACATCTTGATATGCTTCTACCCCTAAACTAGAGAAGAAGAAAGTTCCAAAGCAGACATCCTTGTTCTCCATGAGGGGCTCCTACTGAGGTGAAAGGAATATTTATGCATATCTGGTGACTAGAATATTGTTCTTGTTTATGACTTGCCTAGAACCTGTTCTAGACAAATTAGTACTTTGGAATCTTTCAGAATGGCTTCCTTCAAATAAAAAAAATATTACATTATTGAAATCAATGAGATTATTAAAAGAGTAGGATGATATTCATTATAAATAGGTGCAGATTTTTTTCATATCTGGTTTGCAAGCTCTTTAGAGACTCAGAAAGATAAAAGGAAAGGTACTGGCATTCAGTTTTACAAATGCTGTTTGACCCATGTTAATAATATGTTACATAATAGTATTAACAATAATCAGTTGATCTGTATGACATAAAAAAGTTTAGACCTTCTTCTAAAAAGCTTGTCAGACTTTCCTGAGATTCAAAGAATTATATCAGTTTTTTAGCAATAGTATACCAGGAGCACTTGGCAACCTCATTGTGCCATACACTTTACGAACACAAAATAAGAGACAGTCTGTGCCCTGAAAAGTATACAAACTAAAGAGCCAAAGTCTAGGAAGTGAAATTGGAATCTGAAATGTCTTGCCTAATGTGATACATATTGGAGGAACTGGGAATAGAGTTGCTTATGTCACCTACTCCCCAGTTCATTGCTTTAGTCAATACCTCCTCAAAAAACAAAACAAGGCCCATTTTATTTTCTCTTTTTTCCTGTAAGTATTGGATTTATTAGGACTTGAAGTAGGTTTTCTGTTATACTGTGAGAAAGACTGTTCTGAGCTCAGACATAAGAATTCTGTCTACTTCAGACAAGGTTTCCACAGAAATCTGGAGTTATGAGTGCTTGCTTAAAGAGAAGCAGAATTTCTAATCACTGGAGTTTCACCCAAAAGCAAATAGCCAGGGGGGGAGGACCCAAAACAACAACATTCAAGCAAAATGGTGGAGGGAGTTTGTATTTTGAGTTATTGTTAGACTGAGTTAGATCCAGAGCCACCTCTGGCAGCAAGACAAGTATCACCAGTGTTAACTTCCATGGGTGCCTGAGCCATTGTGTCAGGGAGCCATAGGACTCATCCTGCTGCTGCCAAAATGTATCCCCAAACAGGGCTCTGTACCTCAACATTCAGCAGCACGTCCATCCCCACTCACGCTTCCTCTGAATTCCCAAATCCTTTAGGAGCCCAAGAGCCAGATGAGATGGTTCCATTGGCTAGATTCAGCCCATAGGCTGCAGTGGCATAACTAGGGTAGGGCAAGTGAGGCACTACCTCTGAGCACTGACTAGAGGGTGGGCCAACAATGGCCCCCTTGAAGTCTGTGCCATGGCCTGGGCAGCCTTGCACATAGAAGCTGGGCAGGGAAGTGCCATACTAGTGTATCTGGGGGGCCAGGGGAAGTAGAGCAAGTATAATAGTGTTTCCACAGGCCCTCAAGAACCTTTCCCAGAGCAGGCATAGCCTTGCACCTGATATGTAGCTAAGGGAGAAATGAGTAAATGGGACACCAGATTCAACTCCCAGGAAGCCCAGCCATGGGGCTGTTGCTGCCTGAGCAGAACTGATGCTGCTACAGCAGTATTAGCAGCAGTGGCAGCAATAGCTAGGAAGGTAAGTTCCCTCTTAACCTTCATCCATGTTCCCATCCGCTGCCACCGGTCTACCGTAATAGGCATTCTCCAGCCTTAAGCACCCTTTCTTCACCTCTGATGGGCTGTATCCTTGATATGCCTACTGTAGACCAAAAGTGTAAAGGAAGGGCCTGGTGGTTTGCACTCCTTACTGGGAATTGAAAGGTGGAGTTTTGGACCCCCTCTCAGAACCCCAGCCTCCTGCTCTCAAAGCAAATGCACTTACCGGTAAGTTGTTGGGTTAAGAGATGCACAGGTTGATTCTATTTTGCCAATGTATGGATGTGCCATGAACTAGTTATGGAGCTGCGTTTTTTGTCATTGAAGCACAGAAAGTGAAATGGGATTGAGCCTTTTATAAACCAGGATGCACATTGTATTTTTACATTTTAAAGCACAGTTCACAGGGTGGAAGTCAAATCACAATTGCTGTTCAGCTCCTGGTCTTGCGTTTTGTGCTGAGTCATTAAAAGCATATGTATTATTCATGCCATTTACCCTTGCCTCCTTGTCATTATAGATGGACCCTATCTGAAGGATTCTGTTAGCATTCAAAGCCTGGCAGTTTCTTCCATCATTACCCTGTATTTTACAGACCTGGGTCAGCAGGTCAGTTGGACCACAGTAAGTATGTCCTTGTAACAATCAACACATTAAATCTTAATGTACGATGCATTTTACTTCAAATTCCTGCCACTTCCTCAACTTGTCCTTCTCTGTGTCAAATAGTGTAATTACTTTATCACCACTCAAACCAGAATTCAACTGATAGTCAGCCAAGATATCAGTGTAGTACCTCAGACATCCAATTAAAGATTAGAAGATGGGCATAACAATATTGCTTGGAAGAAATCAATTAAAAAAAAACAATTTTAGCTTATCGCTGGTTTATATAATAGTTTGGGACCTTTAGTCAAATATGTTCATTTACTGCACTGGCTCTTTGGCTTCTGAAATGAAAGGTATTAAGTAAAAACAATGGATTTCTGGTAATTCTCTTATTAAAACAGGAAGATAATCAGATTGTCATGTCTTGATGCTTTAACCCATTTTTTTCATTAGAAGGAAGTTAGGAAGAAGCAATCAGGTTATATAAGTTGTTGGAAAGCTAGGTGTGGAAACTAAAAATTCCTAAAGCATTTTAATTTCTTTCTTGCTGGACTCCATAAATGTTTTCTCAATGAACAAAACATACTGAAACTCACTTTGTTAAACTGTAATATATTTATATGCTATTAGAAATCACTGTCATTGTAAACCACATAGGCCATGTCCAGACATGCAGGGGCGTGTAGTTTGTGGCACCGCAAACCTCTTTGTGGTGCCACAAACTGCACGCGGCAAACATTAAAACATGCCCTGCATTGTAAATTTGCATATAATGTACTCTCCAGAATAACCAGACATGACTTTAGGGAGCTCCAGAAGCCACAGTAAAGTTTTGCAGATAGAGAGGGGTATTCTTGCATTCTACAGTCAGAAATACAAGTTCTTTAGAATTTCTTGGTATCTGAAAGTGATAGAATTACCCACATACCAAATGAACCCTTCTCACAAAAATCAACCCTCCCCCCCAAACTGTAATGTGTATTAGTAAAAGTGAGGAAGCTGATTTTTCTTCACTGGAATAGAACCACAGAGATGTTGTGCTGTAATAGCTGCCAGAATGGTTGCCACGTCTCTGGGTCAGCAAGCCGAGGGCATTGGAGTTCAGTGCTAACCCTTTCCAGTGCTAACTCATCATTGTACTGCAATAGCTTTTGGCTGAGCAGCAAAAAGCTGCTCCTAATTTGGCAGTGACTGTAAAAGGGTTAATACTGTATGGTGGCTGGGGTTTTTTTGGCCTGAAGAGTCATTGAGCTGGCTGAGGGTGAGCTATCTGCCACTGCCTGGCATGACTGTGGAATTCTTTTTCCTACATTCTGATTTCCAAAAAATAAGGTGTGTGTCTTTTGCACATAGTATGAAAAAAAAAATGGTATTGATTACATGCTACCTTTAAATTACTCACACAAAGCTTATATTGGCAACTGAGTTATTATTATTAAGAATATAAATTATCAATCACTTAAAAAACAGATTCATTAACAGGCTGTGGCCTTGAATCTGTGGTCTCAGGCTAATCAGTATAGCCATTCATCCTGGCCTGCTACCCTACTGCCCACAGCAGGCAACCTACATCTGCTCCTGCTCTGCTCTACTCAGCCTTCATAC